GTAACTCTGAAAATGAGAAAGCCTCTTGGTGGATGTACAAGGGTACTTCAATAAATATATGCAGAAGTGGAATTGAAAGGCCTTCATTTTGTTGTGAAAAAATCTGAAATTCATGCATTCCTTTTTCATGATACATGTTGTCTTGAACTTTTTGAAGACCCCACCAATGCAATGAATTTCAAAAAAAAAGTGTTTTTTTTGAATTTCAAAAATTTTATTGCACCAAAATAAACTACCTTTTGAAGTCAGTTTTTCCACAGACTTTCTGAAGTCTATTCCTCTCAGTCAGTAGTCTCTGGAGGGGCAGAACCAACAGGGTACATGGATGTGAGGAGGCTGGCAAGTTCAAAGTCAACAGGGCGGGCTGCAGCTGGAAGCTGAAAAAGAACTGATGCTGAAGTTCAGGGCTGCAGGTGTCTTGTTCAGGAGAAGTGAGTCTTCCATTCTATTCAAGCTGTCGCTTCTGCAGGTCCTGCAGAAGCATGGAGGGTCATCTGCTTTACTTGGTTCCACGGATTCAAGTGTTACTCTCATCTAAAGACATCTTTTCTGAAACAGACAAAATATTGTTTAACCAAATATGTGAGTGCTGTTGCCCAGGCTGAAGTGACATATAATCGTCATATCCCTTAGCCAGTAACACAAGATTGTCGTTATCACCCTACAGCTGAGCCACTAATGTTGGATTCATTCTACAATGATTAGGGAACCAAAATAATAAGAACTTTTCATTTTCCACACCCTGGCCATGCCCAAGGAACTTGCATTAGGTACCAGCAGGTGCTGAGCACTGGGCATTGGGAGTGGGAAAGATCAGGAATCCTGTTCATTTCTTCCTATTTTAAGGAATCAGATCAGAGGGATTTTGAATAAGGATCTTTCACAATCAAGAAGTGCCTTAACTGGTTTGGTTGATATGAGTTTTTGGTCGTGAAAAATATTCAAAGCCAAAAATAATAATTCTATTAGCCCATGGTATCTTGCTTGTGAGTGCTTGCAATATGGAGATTAATAATGGGCCATTAGGCTTGGGATTTCTTCAAGCTTTCATGTGAACAGTTCTTAGAAGAACTGCTGTAGGACTGCTGTATGTTCACTAATGTAATAGGATGAGTGTCTTCTGGAGGAATAGTGAGGCTTCTTGGGTAGAAATGGACTGACACACTCAAGCAGGAAATAATAGGCTATTTCTATGGATTCTATACTCTTAACAGTACATGCAATCATCTTAAGAACGTCTAAATTGGGGATCTGCTGTATTATTCTAATTTTCATCTTAAGTATTGTTCCCGTAGGTCTGTTGCTAAGTAAAAAAGTTTTAGCATTGGATACATGAGAGCAAAAAATAAAAATTGTAATCTCATCTTCAATTTTAAAAAATGTATTTCCTTACTTATTCATTCATAAAGAAGAGAGACAAGGAAAGAGATCTCCCCTTCTCTGGCTCACTCCTCAAATGTGTGCAGCAGCTGGGCTGGGCTAGCAGGTCCAAGGAGGGAGCTGGAAGCTTAGTGTTGGGTCTTCCAGATTATATTAGGGACACCAGCACATGAATCGCCTCGCAGCATGAACATTAGCAGGAATGAACAAGAGCAGAACTTTGAACCAGGGTACCTGATAAAGAATGCTGGAGTCCCATGTGTCAGACCAAAGGCTGGTCCCTATAGTCTCATCTATAGAAAAAAAGCTTATGATCAACATTGCATGTGTGGGTCTGGTTGTTCCAAGGATCACACATCTTTTTACCTGCTCAGATGAGAGCACAGATCTCCACTGCCTTACCCATGAGGGAAAACTGGGAACTATACTGTCCTTCTGTATTATGTAACAAAAACTTCATGCGTTCTTGCTGTGAGTAGATTGCCTGTTCACTTCTTGACGAGATGGGATCAATTTACAGTGTTTCTGGGGAGGGTATCACCCTGACCCCTGGATAGTAAGGTATCCCTAGAGTGTCAGAAAATCCCACAGTCAATATATTCCTCATGAAAAATAGAATACATGGTATGGGCTATCATGTCATGTTAATAATTTGCTACTAAATTTTAATTCCCCAAAACAAGATCAACAAGAAATTCCATGATTGTCAGTGAAGGTAATACATGAGTCTGGTTGAAGGCCAGAGTATTTGAATAGTGTATGTATGTTACTAGTGCCAGAACATTTTGTTTGATTAAATGTTCAGTCTCTTTTTCAAAGCAAGAGCTCCATTGATTGATTTCAGGGTGCTTGGTAAAATCATCATGGGAGGCTTTACATGGAGGACTGAAGTGTTGCAGGAAGATCTTTCTGAGGGTGTGATAGAACAAGGTTGTAGCAATGATGATTAACAGCCTAGAGACCATCTGGGGGCCTATTGCACCTGTCCAGAGAATGGAAGATCTCAACTGGGCCAGGCATTGGTGAGGCGCCAAGGGCTCTGACCTCGTAGAGTGGTGGCCATGAATCTGAACTCACAGATCTCAAGTTTCAGGGAGAATAATTGACCAAGGACTCTGTGGTGCTGCTCTAAGATCTGGCATCACATTTCAGTTGAAATGGTGCTCTCCATGCACTGCCATCAGCCGACTGATTACTGAGGACGGCAGTAACACAAAGACGGGAATGTTGCTGGGCAACCCACTAACCCACTGACCATGGGGTGGAGCACCACAGTCCCAAGTCCCTCTCTTGTATCTTCACTAGAGGTCAACGCAGCAGGATCTGATAGTGTCCACAGCCTTCCCTGCTTTCCCTTCTATTTTCTCTCTTAGGTATTTTCCCTTAATAAATACTCCTGGAGTGGGCATTTGGTGCAGTCATGAGTTGCTTACATAACACTTCCACATCTCATATTGGAATACCCGGTTTAAGCCTCACTACTCCCTTTCTAATCCAGTTTCCTACTGATGTGCATACTGGGAGGCAGGAGGTGACAGCTCAAGTACTTGAGTGCTTCCACTCATGTGCTTGGAAACCTGGATGAAGTGCCGGGCTCCTGACTGCCAGCTGCTACAGCCCTTGCTGCTGTGGGCATCTGAGAAATGAAAAATTCTTGCCTGTTCCATCTCACCGTGATGTCTGTATTTTGGAGAAAACAGACTCACGCAAGAAACAGTTTCAAGCAAATGTTTAAAATGGAATTGATAAAGGAATGAAAGGAAAGCATGAGACGACTGCATCTCATGTTTCTGACTGGCCACAGGTGGGGTGGTAGCCTTCACAGAGCTGGAGAGCTCAGGTGACGGGCAGTCTTGGGGTCTTCTTTTTAATCTCTCCAATCTGTGTGACAACCAGCAACATCTTCCTTTGCTTCTATAAACATGCAAACGTGTTGCTGCTCCTGGCTTATTCCTCTCCCACAGTGCAGGAACCAGAGCCCCACTGCCTTTGGTTACTCAATCTTTGTCCTTCAGGTGCATTCTTCCTCACACTCTTCCTACGACGCAATCCCGTAGATCCATCCCCGCTTTTGCGCTTGCTCTGTTCTCAGCCTGGAACTGACTCACACATTCTCTTGTTAAAATAGATAACATTTTAAATTTTAGTTTTCATTAGTTTTGAACAGATCCAATATGATCTGTAGATATTATTCTAAAAGCATCATGATATTTCTTTCCTCTCACTTCTGTGCTTTGTTCACGTTGTCTTTTTTTTTTTTTCTACAAAGTGCCCATATGAGAAAATAGGAAAGCACAGGGATTCTAGTCACGAGGTGGTCATTCAAACTCTGGCTCTGCCCGGAAGAGGCGGCTGCAGTGGTTTTGGAGCAGACAGCATGGGGACAGCATGGCTTCTCTACTCTTAGTCCGTCTGGTCTTGGGCAAGCTGTTCTGCTGCGCGCCCCATTGTCTTCATCTCTAAAGTGAGAGAGTCAGGAAACCCCCTCGTGGGTCTTTAGAGGGGGAAAGAGGTCTTTGATAAATAGCTGCAATCAAGTGCTGATGGATTGGGGCAGTAATTTGTTCCCTTATTAATTATAGATGTTAGTGTGACTGTGTTAGCTCTGTTGGTACACTAAATGGTTTAGCCAATAGAAGTTTATTTTCTCACAGTTCTGAAGGCTGGAAGTTCAAGATCAAGGTGCTGGCACCATCAGTTTCTCCGGAGGCTTCCTTCCTTGGCTTTCAAATGGCCGCCTTCTCAGTGTGTCCTCTCCTGGCTTTTCTCCTGTCCGTGTATAGAGAGAGCTCTCAGGTCTCCTCTCAAAATGTCATTGCCCTGTTGGAATCCACCCTGTCCTTTACCTCAATTACTCCCTTGAGATCAACAGCTCCAAATACACTCACACTAGAGACTGGGGCTTCAACATACACATTTGGAGGGAACACAATTCATTCCATACCAGTGATTTTCAATGGCACCTATAGGCAGTAGGCACCTTGGGCAGTCTTTGAAAGATTAGGTAACCCTAATAATGATACAGAAAAGTTAAACAGCAAATTATTATAGCTTTTTTTTAAAAAAATGAGTAAATAGTATCTCTTAGTTCTCTAGTTCTCATATTTAAAAAATATTGATATGATGCAACTGTTTCATACTGTTTGCTCACAACTTAAAAGTAATAACAAAAACCTCTAAAGAAAGGAACTTTTAAAAATGAAATCCAAAGGAAAAGAATGCATACTATAATTAAAATGAAAAGACTAATTGGATGATGTGACCACATTTATGGAATGGGCCCCGTACTTTATCAAATGAGAAATCACTACTCCTAAATTCTCTGATTAATAGACAAAACGAAAATAAATGAATGCCTGATTCTTTTCAGTAAATTCTATGAAGAACATCAAATGAAGAAAAGAAATTCATGATGATAAAGTATAGAAATTAATTCATTGGAAAGTCGTATAACTGATAAATACTTTTAAGCCTAGTTCCAAGGGGGCTGGGGGAGCAGCGAAAACATTGTAACAGTGTAAATGACTTAGCACTGTAAATGATTTAAGAAGAGAACACAAACTTATGAAATTATAAATGAATACATTTTTAATATTTATTTATTTGTTTGAACAGTAGAGTGACAGAGATGGAGACACAGAGAGATCGTTTGTTCACTCTGCAGCGCCGGAAACAGCTGAGATTGCATCAGGACAACGCTGGGAGCCAGAAACTCCACCAAAGTCTTCTGTGTAGCGATGGGAACATAAGGACATCAGCGAAGTCACACTAAGGTGACGCTGGATCAAAAGCAGAGGTGAGACTCAAAGCAGGTACTGATACACAGTTTTGCAAATAGCAGCTTAACACACTGGGTCACAATGTCTGCCCAGGGATTATTTCCAAATAAAAATGATCCCAAAGCTAGTTAGAAAATTTGTGACTCTAAATCCACATTTAAATCTATTTATTCATGGAAATGTTAGAATTCTTTCCCAGCATGTGAACAGGTTGCAATGGATTTATCTGTTCTGTTCATGGGTTTTTAGATTTTTTCCCTGTGGTTTTTACTACTACAAATAATATCACAATGAGAATTGTTGCACACACATCTTGTATACATGTGTAAGAGTTCTTCATGAGCATTGATTCTCAAAGTGTGGTCCGTGGATGATCGACATTAACCTGGGAACTGTGTGAACAATGTAAGTTGTCAGGCCCCAGCACAGGTTACTGACTTAGAAACTCTGGTTGAGGCCCAGGCCTCATGTTAACCAGCATTAAAGGTGAGCCTGGTGTCTGTTCCAGTTTATGAATTATTACTCTGGCGTCAAAACTCAGATGTGGGATTGTGAACTAAACAATCAAGTGCAACTGGTTTTTAGGATATAGCCAGTATAGTGTTTATTTATTTTGAAAAAGAGACAGAAAGAGAGAGAAAGAGGGCTGCCATCCACTGGATCCTTCGCTAAATGGTGGCAATGACTGAGGCTGGACCAGCATCAGAGCCAGGAGCTGGGAATACAAACCCAGGTCTCCCACATTGGTGGCAGAAATTAAATAACTTGAGCCATTTCTTCTGCTTCTAAGGATGTGCACCAGCAGAAAACTCAAGTCAGTAGCAGCTTTGGGAATCAATCTATGTACTCTGATGTGAGGCACAGGAGTCTGAGCACCTGCTCCCGATCTACCTAAGGGTTATGCCAATTTACATGTGTATCAGCTCTGCAATAGGATTCTCAATCACCTGGAGTCTTGCAAACAGTTGTTATTGAGGAATTTAATGTGGGAAGTTGCACTTGTTTTATTTGCATTTCTCTGATAAAGTCACTCAGCAACCCTAGACCTTTAGTTTTTTCTTTCTCTAAGTTGCCTGCTCATATGTTTTGCCCATTTCTCTTGTGCTGATGATTTCTTCCCCAGTGTCATTCAGAAGTGATTGGTGGATTGCAAATATCTTTGCCCAGTCTGTGACTTGTATTTATATCTTTAGCCGCTAGGCCACGCCGCCGGGCCCAACTTGTATTTATATCTTAATGTTGGTAATTATGAGTGTATAAAAGTTTTGTTCTTTAAGTAACAAAAACATTTATCATCTGTTTTCTGGCATATGGGGTTTCTCTCTGTGTACATAAAGGGGTGGAGGTAGTGTGGCTTTTATTTAAGAAATCTTTCAGGACTTCAGTGCTGTAAGTTAGTCTCTCCCAGCTTTTCTCATGAAATAGAGGCAGCCCGATAATGAATAAGTAAGTAAACACTTAGTAGGGAATATACCAGAATCATGGGGCCGGCCATTCATTGCCCTGTGGCTTCCTTGAGTGCTTTCTTATAAAGAGAGAGAATTGTCTTATTTTTTTATTATTTTTTTTTTGCATCTTAATCTTCCAAAGATTTGTACTCCCTCTTGCTTCATGCAGGCAGGGAGTGCAAACCTCTGATACTAACTGCCTGTGAAAAGCTGAATGTAGTGTTGATGGTGATGGCTATGGCGATTGTGTTGATGGTGACGGTGATGAAGCTCATATGGAAATGATGTCATCATCTTCAAGGTAGCAATGCCCACCAGTGAAACTCCATCAGCTGTGTAGATAACAGAAAATAACCTGATGAAACTTAGAAGGTTCAGAGGACGTCACTTCTCCAAAAACGACAGAAGGCCCAGAATAAAAAAATACTGAGGAATGATATAGCTGCTCCTTGACTGCCAAGTATGGAGTCTTTAGAAATTGATAGATCAAAGTCATAAAGAAAGAAAAGGCTAATGTGACAAGGCATCAGGAAAGGAAGAAAATAAAGAGAAATAGATGAAAAGTAAGTATTATATGAAAACCAAAATCTCAGTAACAATCTTGTTTCGGTTCTCAGTGAAAACAGATCTATATCAGGTAGTTGAACGCATGTCTTGTCATTTACAATGGAGACTGAAATTGCAAGTTATGAATAAAGAAATTATGTCCAGAGATATATAATTAGTAACATAAGAGAAAGGAATTAAAAGGTGACACCAAAAAAAAACCCCAAAAAATTACATTCAAAAACTTAGAATGATGTACATAAAAATTATTAGTTTCCTTGAAGAAAACATAAGGACAATGGAATAAAACTGTTAGTTCAGTCATCTCTTTAGCATTTCTTTATTGACTAATATGCCATGTGCTATGCACCGTGCAAAGTGTAGCACAGACTGTGCTGAACATGGCACGTGATTGCTTTGTTCCTATAAGTGTGTGTCTAACTAGGCAAATATTAGAGAAGCAAATACACAAATAGGTATGTATTGCAAATTTGGGCAAACAATATTGAGCAGAACAAAACAATAATTAATGATAAGAAAACTGAGTCAGTTGGAGAAAGACCTCCAATAAAACTTTAAAGTAACTGTTATCAAAGTTGATAAAGAGAACTACAGTAGCCAGATGCATACAATTTATTATACTCTGTAAATTAAAAGTGTAAAATAAGAATCCCACCAGAGGTCATGTAGAAAAACAGCAGATTTCTACGAGGCCTCAGCTCTTCAGTGGTAAGTGTCAGAAACTTCTGGAACATGTTTCTTGAGTCCCTTCCAACCCCACCCTCCCCCAAGTGATTCGTGAATTTCATCAGGAAAGCATCTTCTGTGAGCCCAGGGGTATCTTCATTAGGTGAATGAAATCATCAGAATATCTCCAATCCATGTGTTTTTCTTACCAGAATCAGTCCAAACAAAAAGAAGATGAAAAAGCAAAGGCTAAAGTTAAATTACCCAGAGAAGTTTGTCTTTTGTGCTTCTTACCAAGCATATCTAGCACGCAGCATATTCTTGAATGAAGGAAGAAAAATGTTTGGATGAAACAGAGAAGTCTATGCACTTCTTTCAAGACAGTTGTCCGAGATCCAAGGCATAGGCAGCAGCCAGGCAGAGCCGGTTCTTACCAGTTAGAAACATGGGGCTACTGAGAAACCAGAAGGCGGCCAGCCAGCATGGCTGAGGTCAGGGCAGTGAAGAACACGGGGCCAGAGAGAGTAAGGTTGCACTGGTAGGCTCAGTGCCTCAAATCCTACAGGTCCTGCACACTTTGTATGACTTGCTACTGTATGAAAGAAATGTATCTAATTTCTTCAAAAGCCTTTTATACAACCAGTTGGTAAAAGAGCACTCAACTTATCCAAGGCTCTTCATATTCTATGAGATACTGGCAAATAATTGAATACAAAATTTCTAAAAAGATTAGCTAAGAAAGGAAGGTAAAGATGGAATTAGAACACAAAATAAACACCATATGTTTCTAACTTACCAGAAAAAGTCTGAAAACAAGGATACTATGCAGCCTGAGCAAAGGCAAGAGAAACGCATATCGTTTCTGCAATGTTGGCAGAAATGAAAACCGGAATGCTTTTCCTGGAAAGCATTTGGGCACCATAGGTCGATTAGCTTGCAATGATGCATACTCTTTTGATTCAGTAATTCCACTGTCAGGACTCTTTTTCTCTTCTGTCCTTCATAGTGCTCCTCTTGCTTCTCTTTTCTCTTTAATATTTATTTTTATTGGAAATGCTGATTTACAGAGAGAAAGAAAGACAGGAGGAAAGCTCTTTCATCTGCTGGTATACTCCCTACATGGCCACAATGATCAGAACTGAGCTGATCTGAAGCCATCAAACAGGAGCTTCTTCTGGATCTCTCATGTGGGTTTAGGGTCCCAAGGATTTTGGTCATCCTGACTGCCTTCCCAGGCCATAAACAGAGCGCTGGGTTGAAACAGGAGTAGCCAGGACACGAACTGTGCCCATGTGGGATGCTGGCAATTGCAGGTGGATGATTAGCCTGTTGAGCCACTGCACCAGCCTGCTTTGCCTATTTTTTTAAAAAATCTTTTAAAACTTTTTAATTTATTTTCTTTTCTTCTTCTTCTTCTTTTTTTAATGAGGAGAGAGAGAGAGAAAGAGAGATCTTCTATCTGCTGGTTCATTCTCCAAATTAGTACTTAGGGCTGGGCCAGGCTGAAGTCAGAAGTTAGGAACTCAGTTGCAGTCTTTTAGGTGAGTGGCAGGGACCAAAGTACTTCACGTTGTGTACTAATAAGAAGCTGGATTGGAAGCAGAGGAGCCAGAATTCAAACCAGGAGCTCTGTTGCAGGATTGAAACGCAAAGTTGAATCTCAATCATTGTGCCAAATGCCTCCCCCTTTGTTTTTAATTCTATGTTTATTCATGTAATTATACTCATATGATTAATGCCTATTTTAATAAAGGTTGAGGTTAACTTTACTTATTTATTTTATTTGAAAGGCAGAGTTAGAAAAAGGGAGAGAGATTGAGAGATTGAGGTCTTCCATCTGCGGAGTCACTCCTTAAATGGCCACAATTGCCAAAAAGAGGACCCAGGAACTTTTTTTTTTTTTTTTTTTCACATCTCTCATGTGGATGCAGGGGCCCAAGTCCTTGGACCTTCTTCCAATGCTTTCCCAGGTCATTAATAGGTAGCTGGATCGGAGGTAGAACAGCCCTATGGGATGCCAGTGCTGCAGGTAGGAGCTTTACCTGATATGGCACAGTGCTGACCCAAAGTTAATTTTTTGTGCACTCGACAGAATATTGTACTCTATTACACAACATATTGTTGAATCAATGAATCATATTTTGCGGCAGCATATACCAATCTTACAGGACAGTTTTCAGCGAATTGGGGGCATAGGTAGTGTCAGCTAGGAGCTGGGTCATACCAGTTTTCTGAATCTTGTTTGTAGTGATGGTTACACAAACCAGTGTATGTGTTAAAATTCATAAAATTTGTCAGGATTATAATATATAATTCTAAACAAATAAAAAGGAAAG